TCCCTTTAGCTTTCCAATTCTCGAGATTACTAAGGCAAGGCAACTTCCAGAGACATCACCAATACCACCCTGGGATCTACGAGTGTTATTAGGCAATGATGATCATCCCGTTCTCAAAATCTGAGAAGCAACCCCAAGCGACTCACTGCCTAGTCCTGCAACAAAGTGAAAATCACGGTTATATAGGCGAGACCAGCTGCTTCGAAGGACCCCAGTAGGCCAGGCCAAGACGCAGAGGAGTCTGACAAGGAGACGGAAGGGTCGACAAATCCAGCCACATTCAAATCAATAACAACAGGTACTCCAGGAATTGAGAAGGAGTCAAGGTGACTCGATGTCTTTCTGCACCGACGCCATCTGCATTGGCAATGGCTTAAAGAAGCAGATGCCACGACTTACAGGCTCAAAAGAAGTAGGGGATCTGGCCGCAACTCAAGGGTTTCCCATGGGTTTAAAGACATGCTGTCTTGACAAGACCGTTCTAAAATGGGGAATATCTTTCGACCCTATGAGCCCGGCATGCCTACACAGGCAAAGCGCTGGAAATATGCGAGAGACTTGCCCATTGGCGAACTTTGGAGGCCGAGTAGATTTGGAATTCATAAGAAACTTTCAGGGAGTTCACAACTACTTCATATACCAAGCAAGCTAAAAAGACCAAGCGCAAAGGCACTTACAATAAAATCACATCGCGAAAATGACGAGCTATGCTTACCCGTACGTCCCCGTATAGCAGAAGTCGGACACTTAGCTCGATTGTCTTACTAACAGCTTAGTAAAGACAGAAAGGTTCACCATGGTCGGATTGACCTGTATTCTCCCATGCCACAACGAGAGAACACCAAGTATACACCACAGTCACTGCTTTCCTCGAATATGGAACTAACGTCTAGTATTAGCATTATCTAGCCTTTCCGCATCAATCACCGCACCGATCCAAAGCTTTTGAGACGATACCTGTGGTGTCTTTGCCATCCGCAGTGAAGGCTCTTACTCTCGATGGAAGAGGTCATACACATTGACAAGTAATTCATCATCTCTCCCCAAGCTAAAGACTGCTAGTGCAGATCACAGCGTGACACCTGCCAAGAGCAAATATGATACCAGCCGAAACCCAAGCACCGAGCGATACCAGCTGAGACAGTCCGCATTCAGGATGGCGGAGATTGTTGGCAAGCTTTACTTCCATTACCTCGCTCGGCGTACGTCAACTCAGGAAACCCTGGATTAAGAGGCGCTCATCTGATCTTACAGACGTTCTCGAGGCCAGGAACATTGTTCTCGGCGTTCATCAACCGATGCCCGCCAGAGAATATGTAAGTAGACTTAAAGTCTCACCATACATGGAATTGGAGTTCACTGCGTTAAAAAAAACAATATAACATTCGAATCCGGAGCACCAAGTTCAGTAATATTCATCATACAAAAAGTTCATAGACTCCAGACCCACTGTCAATGCGGAAGATACACATATGATAAATTCGAGTAGATCCCATGTCGCATTACTGTTCGGGTTTGCGACCCCACACAACCCGTTGCTTATAGTAAGGATGATGCTTGCCCGAATGAATCTCTTTCCGAGCATGCGCAAGGTAAACATGAATTTCCGACTCAGTCCAGCCAATTGTGTTAGCAACGAATAGGACAAATCCTTCAGGATCAGCAAGGAACGCAAGCTTGCCGAATTCGCCTAATTCTTTCAGTTTTGGGTCTTTTGGCCAGCCACCGATTGGGGTCTATAATAGCCATATTAGATTAGCTCTTGGTGAGGTTCTCAAAAACGCCACATCACGTACCTTGTATTCGAATTGTTGGATGTCAACGAAGCCAGCAGCTTCCATCGCTTTCCGCTGTAGCTCTTCTTCGTAGATGGTGAAACTTGTACCTAGCTTCTTGGCACCCTCGATGAATATCTTTCCCCACTGATCTAATGCTGAGTTCACCTTGACAGTATCGTCGTCGCTAGTAATAATACCCGACGGTTCAAAACTCTCGACCCAACCACCTGGCTTACAAGTCTTATAAGCTTCGCTAAAGAATCCATACCAATCTGGGATAGCGCCAATGAGCCAGCGGATATGAATATAGTCGGCTGAATTAGGGGTAAAAGTCCACTCTTGAGTGCAGTCTTCAATCTCGCTATGAAAGCCTGTTAGTTTTATAAGAAAGGCAATAGGGACTTGCTTTGGATGACCAACAATTGCAGATTTGGTGGAACCCAGGAGGGTTGAATTGGAGAGACATCGGTGCCGATCACTTCAATGTTGGGATGTTCATCGGCGAAATCTCTGTCTAGAATCAGTATACAGGGCTCAAAAGGCGTGTTTAATACATACAAAGCCCAAATACCTATTGATTGAACCCAATCAGTCAGACTTATAGTAGCTAGATAGCCCAAGGCTTACATACCGGTGCCTGTTCCGATGTCGAGCGCTTTCTTCACACGGTATGTTAGCCTCCAGATTAGACTACAACCATATGTCGTTGAAGACTTACTGTGATTTTGCTTGTATCAATTGGCGCGAGGTGAAGCTTTCCACCAATACCAAGAGTGAGGCAATGATGGCTTACAGAGGTATGTTAATCGTGTCCTCTATATACGAATTTGGTGCAACTCACTTGATGTCAAGCAATTCACTTTGTCGCTCATCATTGGCAGCCCTAGTTCGGTGAGGTAAGTCTATGTCTACCATGTGTGACTAAGATAAGATCTCACCAATACTGTGCGTTCCCGATTTCGCCATGGTATGTCCTACCATGGAGCTTGCGATACTCAAAGATCTTGGAGGTGACGGATTCTGTAGAAGATGTAAGGCTCTCGTCGTCTAATGAATCAGCATCATCATGAGGATCGTCAGTTTCTTCCTTGATTGTCTTTAGCATCACCATACATATCCATATACTGTTTTGTAGGTTTGTGTAATCTCACCTCAGCAAGTTGTTGCCAATGCTCGGGTTCGAAAACGCCGGTATTTTCCACATTCGCCAGTGCCTGCTGTGGGGGGCTCCTTGCGGGACTTTTGGCCGTATTTTTAGCGGGACTTTTTTCGCTCTTTGGGCTCGTCGCAGCTGCAGGTGGTGTCGACATTATGATTGAAACAGGAAGCAATATCCTTAGCTTGGTTGGGTCCTTTAGAGTGTCGGGAGCTCGAAGTGTTACGGATAGTTTACGTAGAAAAGAGGGAAAAGCTAAACCAAGAAATAAATTGGGGCGTACTCTTGATTTAGGCGCTCGGTAAGGTTTCGATTCTGGGTGATAATCAGAAGAGATTTACCTGATTGGCTATGATATCTTGATTAACAAGGTGATGATGTGTCAGTTCGTGCAGGGTTTATTACCAGGGTACATACTGGCAAAGCACTTGCTGTTAATAGAGGGAAGGACAAACATAAGTGGCAGTCTAATTTAGGCAGTTAGTTAAAGCAAGGTATCCTTTTATTTACTTATATATTATTATACCTAAATCGATTTATACTTCTAGGTAGGAGTTTTTATAAGCGTTTATAATTGTTTGTAACTGCATCGCCCTGATTGGCCGAGCTCGCTATGCATTGTGGAGAGCTGTGTTGTATTTAAATAACTCACCGCCACCGAATTTAAAAGAACGGATTTTAGATGCTCGATTCGGTTCAACATAGCTACTCATCACAAGAATATAACAAAAATGTCAAGGCTAACCCCTTATGGCCATTCCTTTATATAGGTACCAGTTGGACTTTTCACTTGGGTCCAAAACCAAATCCGTTGATAACGCTAAGGTTCAGTCCCTCAAGAAATATTATGGACTGCTATAGATATCTCTTTATGATAACCCCCCGCACCCCATCAATCAACTAAGAGACAGGATACAGAAATATCTGGGGTGGCAGATGGCATCGATTGCTATCCCAGCTGCGAAACCCATCCCTTTGCAGAAGCTTCTGACGTTATAGCGCGACGACTGTGTATCTTCCTCTTGCCATGCTGCCGCTATATCCTCCTCAATTTCTCTGGCAGCCAGTCCTCTCCGGGAATAAGGTAAGTAGCCAGCTCATTAGTGCCCTTGAATTGATTAACATTACTTGTCAACTCCTTCTTTATCTACCGCATATTTATCCCCCCACGCGGGCAGTTAATGTTATATATGTTCGCCGCGGAGGCTTTGCTCCTTAGTTCCTTTCGCAGTGCGGTGAGCTGCTGGCCTCAAATTACTTCAGCCGCTATTCCAATCCCTTCCGCAAGCACAGCGTTACCCCATTTTCCATCCAACGACTGCCACGACTCCCAAAGCATTACTAGTGTGGCAATCCTATCGTCTGTCAATTTCCCCAAGGTCTCTTGAACAGTACCTCCTCTCAAGTGTACCTAAGTCTGTAGAGCACGAACTTGACGCATCGGATAATGAGCGCCAAGGTATGCGGAATCATAGAATTCGGTCAGCATGTGAATCGACGCACTCCCGTCTTAGAGTGTGTTTTTGCAGACTCTGTCTGGAATTTTAAGTTCTTCGTTAAAACAGTGCGGGTAGAAACTTGGCTTCAACATTGGAAGACAATTCAATCAATTCAAGTAGCTTCAGCGCCATTTCAGCAGTTTTATTACCTTTATAGCGGGCTTGGTCTCTATTTCTCCAGCAGTCTTCTAGCGCTCAAGCACTATTAGAGCCCTATAACTACTCGCGGCTTATATAATCAAATCTTATTTGCACAGCCGGCTGTGCGCGTATTGCTCGCCAGACACCTCTAGTAGAGGAAGTTTATTGTAAAGCGCATAGTCAAGCTGCGCATGCCATGGGACCATGACAGCCCTAGCCCTTTGTTTTCTTCCGTTAAGATTGATAATCGGGCCATGGCGCTTTGGCCAAGGGGCACGTACAGGGTGTGCTGTGCTTGCTCGCTCATGAAGACCCTCTTCAACCACAAATCCACGGTTTCAACCAGTACAAGTGAACCAAGAACCATAATTAACATGTCCACTTTCTTCACAATACCCAAAAATATCAACAAAAAAAGATATTGCATGCCAGGATTGGGATTCGAACCCAAGCAACTTCCGTTACTGCGAATTTCCATGTAAATGGATAAGACAGGGTCTTGAATGCAGCGCCTTAACCACTCGGCCATCTTGGCTTACTTTGCTTGTGTTTAATTAGGTATAATTTTGGTATCTAAAGGGCTCTTGATATTTGGAGAGGTAACGTTCTGTTATTACAGTTCGAAGTTGGCTGCGTATCCTGGGTCTGCCTTGAAAGATGGATGGTGATTTCCATAGGCTATCGCTCTCATACTTGCATCTTAAACGGTAGCTAATCATTGTTTAAGCTACACTCTCAGCACAAGGGTACAGTACGATGGCGGGACTTGGGCGCAGCAGCGAATAAACCAAGGGGTCCATCAAATCTAATTGAAAACCCGAGGAGGCTACAGTGAAATTATAAGTGATTATACTGTTCAAACCTCCTTTTCTATGGATTTGAGTATGGTTCGCCTCATGATGGCCAAAACAAGCTGTGGTGTTTAAAAATGGTGGTGACTCGAGACCTTATCAGCTGCCCAAAGGTTCAGCGCAGAGAAAAAGTCTGACTAACTTCTGACATATCTGAATAAATGCAGCATGCAATTCTCTAATGTTAAGCTCACGAAAATTTCACTTGCAATAAAATTCTCAGTTGCCATCGTCACCACACTTCTTACAGCTACAATTTACCCTACATCAGCGGTGTCTTGGCGAAAGTGGCTAGCATAGCGCACGAGCCAAAGACAAACCTTGTCGCTAGAACAGGCTTATAGACGAGGTCCAATTTCGTCTTGTACAGATTGATGTTTGTCTACCCATAGCGTAAGGCACCCTGCTTAAAGAACTGCTCTGCGAAGTCGCAGTAGCTGCAACCAATTCTTATCAAGGGAAATGGCTCTGGTGGAGTAAGGAGCGATCTGTCTTCTCGATCTGTAAGCCTTGGTACGCCTCAAAACGACCTCCGGCGTCTAAAAGTCGAGGCTGCCAATTGCTCAATTGTGCGTGACACTGAGACGAGATGTCTCAAGATGGCCAGGCCAGCACTGATAACACATACCTTGAGAGCATGGCTGTGTGAAGCTTGGCAACTTGAATTGGATTAGAAGATATTTATCCCAGGACGATTAGAGATGTTTCGACCCTAACGCTCTCCGAAGGCAAGTTATCGTAGAACTTTGTAAGTCACTAGTACAACCGCCCCCCTCGGTAGGCATGTATCGCCGTCCATTGACCCCCAGACCCCAACATTGTTGGGGGTGTCCTCAGCAGGTGGTGATAGGGCAGGCTGTGGACGATATCTAGATATCCTCGGCCTGAGGAGTGTTGGGGATAATGGTAGACGCAGGGTGCTGTGTACTGGCATTTACAGGTGGAGCGATCAACAAAGACAGGACTTACTGAACCTGCGAGGTCGGTGGGGTTGTCGTGTTGTTGGATTGAAGGAAGACAGAGGAGCTTCATCTTTTCTTTCCTTTCCGCCGTAGCGACGATCAAAGGCCCTTAACGCTTTGCAATCAAAACCTCTGCATCTACGTCTCGCAGTGTGTGAGTGGAGAAATTGACTGATCTGACCTTGGTGGGCATTCGATTCCAGTAGTTACTTGAAAAGCGATCGTCCAGCGTGTTGCAATTGGTATTGCGCCTGTCGGGTTTTCAATATCCATGATAACGAAGCAACAATTATCCATGTTCACCTGGTTCTAGAAGCCTGTCATCGTGTGGCTTGAACGAGTCTTCCGATATGAGAGTGTCACTTATGGGACGATTTCGTGGTACCGGTCAGTCGGTGCCATCGTCATCTTTGCGTGGACCTCAGTAGCTAGAGGCTTCGTCATAAGGACAGCCAACGTTGTAATGAGGTCATTCCTTCTCGTACCATAAGCTTTGGGGATAGGTGGTCACGCCCATGAGGTCACCAGTTTGCTCCGCACCTTGACATTAAGCATAGGCCGATTCATTATGAGAACCGTTTGCTGAGATGCTACGACCGTCATGCGGGCATAGCTGGTGGCTGGGGAAGCTGGCGTTGAAGGTGCAGCAGCTGGCGAGGATGAAACCGCATTTGGGGAAAGTTTATTTGACGTCTTCAGAACTGCCGCAAAGGTAATACTCATTAGCATCTTGTGGTAGCTAGGATGAACTTCCAGTTCGACGAACCGGGATATATACTGCCCAAGAACCGCTGCCTGGATCAGTAATGAAAGCAGATCTTAGAATACTGTGAGACTGGGTCATTGCGATCTTGCTTGAACTTGAGAAAATCTTGATATTTGTGATCCTTCGCTTTTGACAATCCGGAGTGATTGGTAATTCGGCTTGGTGACGGAACGGCAACAATAGATGGTCGATGCATCGATCCTCTCCGAGACAAGCATTATAAAACGAGGCAATATGGGCTGGCTTGACCCTGAGGATGCGGTAAGATTACCACATGACTTAAGCCACAGATCAACAGAGATTGTAGGATCTTTCATCGAATCATGTTACCACTCGGTCTCTCGGGAGCATTCAAGCTTTGTAGAAACTTGGTAAGAGACAGTGTTCTTCTTGTCAATGCTCCCTTGAAGATTCATGCTGGTAGAAGCTGGGAGGAGGGAACGCTCAGTGGGGGTCCGCAGCGTATCGATATACCTTTGACTACAATACAATTGCCGCCACGACCCTATACGTCTTGACCTTAGCCGCTACATAAATTTCGATGTTGAGTGGTTGGTACTTACAGGAATGTTTTGAGAACACCTATACCTGCTTCCTCCTTGGCATCTTGCATCATCATTTGGTGAAGGTAGCCCTCACATGAAAGTTCGGAGGGAAGAAATGGTACGACCTCGCGACTCAAAACCATCGACTTTGTAACTACATCATAGAAATTTAACTGAGCCTCATAGTCTTACCATACATCAAGAAACGACTGCTCCAGCACATTGTCCTCGTCCAGATAGTGTTGGAGTGTTTTCCGGGCCTCTTTTCTTTGCCTTCCACGAGAGTATGTGTCTCGTGGTTAATCTTTACCTCTGTTGCAATGCGGGTCTAACCCTCTTTCTTCCGCTCGATAGAGTTGTCGCTCGCGAGAAGGACAACTGTAGGGTTCATGGAAAGGTGGTAGATGTTATTGTCAGTGGATTGGGCGGTAGCGGAAATGGTTATTTGAGTGCTTGAGAAGTATCAAGCTCCCTTTTCCGAGGCTGGACCGCCTCGGATGAATTATCTGTATCAGGGGACAGTGCTTGGAGCGACTTTTGAGAACCTCGGCAAGAGAACCTTGGGGGGACTGATCATCATTGTCACTGACTTGGTAAATTTTGTTGTTGGGCGGTTTTGGCTCCAGGGCCATATAGAGAGGACAAAGCCGATTCAATGAGTGTCGCAGAATTGCTTTCAGAGCGCGTAGTAAGGCCTTAAGAATGCTGTCAAGTATAGAGAAGCTGATCGTTGCACTAAGGGAATGTCAGCCAAGCAAGACGATCAACGTGAATGTCTAACTCGTAACCTTCCTTGCTGGAATCGGGTGCATTCTCGTCAAGCTACAACGTGCTATCACATTGCGAAGATGCGGGGTCGAGACGATACTTCCTGCAGCGTGGGAAACATCGATGGCGTCGGGGGCAGCATCATGATAGACTGGAAAAGAGACGTGACGAGCAGTAGAAGCGGTCATGAGGATTGAGTAAATCATCGGCGGAAGTTTTCATCGGTCGAATGAGCAGAGAGGCTGGCGTGCAGTGGTGTAAGGACTGAGTCTGTTCCTGGTACAAGGCCCCAACAACTCATGGGGCAAGATCCGGCTAGCTGCCACTGCCAGTCCTTGGGAGCGGAAGGAGTACGTGCAAGATATCTCCAGCGTGATTGTAGAATGGACGGAGGGACTTTTTCTGGATTGATGTGATATTACCTGCATTAACGACCTTGGTCTGCTGTTAAATCGATGCTTGGTAGCATTGAGCCACTGTCGAGGGAATAGGAGATGAGGCTATGAGGTACATCTGAGCACGTGCAAGACATATGACTGCATAACAGTGGGATAGATTTTGATACTGACGGTGTGACCTATTGGGGCACTTGCCGAATCGCCAGAAGTATCCATGGGATTCAAAGCAAAGCGGCACGCGGCAACACAATAGTCATCTGTGCCATGAGCCTACGCTGGCATTTGGTAATGCGCTGCGTATAGCACCCGTCAAGCAACAAACGCGGCCTGCATTCCATCGGGCGATGCATGGCGACTTAGATGCGACACAATAGTGTCACGACCGAGTCAGAGTCAATCTTTTCCGCTTCTCTCTAATCCTTCCTTCATCAAGCTACAGCAATATATAGACCACGGAAAAGACTTAATAAACACATACGACCAAAGGTAGTGGAAAATACGGGATCCCGTCCGCTCTCCCATAGTCAAGCCACTAACCGGCGGATTAGTAGTTGGGTCGGTGACGACCAGCGAATCCCCGCTGTTGTATGTTTTTTGCTTCGTCTCATATCATGTCGTGGTGTGTTGTTTTTGGTGTTGTCAAGATGTTGGTTGATGTTGGTATGTGTATGAATAGCATGTGTTGAGTC